CTCGCCGCCATGCTGCGGGCTAAGACGCTCTCGCTGCCGTACGGCGGAGCCAGTGGCGAGACGGGGGTCTGGGTGGGGGCTCGGGAGGGGGAGGCCGCGGCGGGCCCGGCCGTGGAGGCGCCTCTGGACGAGCTCGAGGTGCGACGGTGTATCATTCACTTTATGCCACCGTTGCATATCCGGATATGCAACGGTGGCATAAAGTGAATGATACACCGTCGCACCTCGAGCTCGTCCAGAGGCGCCTCCACGGCCGGCCCCGCCGCGGCCTCCCCCTCCCCAGCCCCCACCCCGACCCCCGTCTCGCCACTGGCTCCGCCGTACGGCAGCGAGAGCGTCTTAGCCCGCAGCATGGCGGCGAGGGTCGCCGGCGAGACGCGCAGCACGCGGCGCGAGAGGAAGGGGAGCATCAGCGGGAGGAAGTGAGCCTTTATTTACCGTCGGTTTGCCTCAAGTCCTGGCGCGCGACGTATTTCTCTCATGCAGCGTCTGAAACACAGCTTCTCGTGTGCCGCGAAGCTGTGACAAGATATATGCCAAGCCCTCCGGCAAAGCGCCTGCGGACTCACGGTGAGGAGAAGCCCGACGCTCTCTTGTCTGCGCTCGGCGACCAGAACATGGCCGAGCGCGAGGACGCTGAGGCGTGGCAGGAGAGCAAGAGTATTGCCGAGCAGGCGGCGGCGGCGGCTGCGGGAGACGTGACTGAGGAAGCTTCACCACCTCCACCGGCTGGGAAGGGCTGCCGCCGCTCGAGCCGAGTCACCGAGGAGACCAAGGAAAACGTTGCCGCCTCGGTACGCAGCGACCTCAGTGGCCTGAGCGGCCGCGAGATTGCACGGCCCGCCGGCAACAGCGTCAAGACGAGCGGCGGGCTGCGGGTGACAGGGCCGTCGACTAACGATGCGCAGACGGTCTGGGAGGGCATCCCGCTGGCCGGAAAGCAGCTGCTGCTCGATTGCGTCAACGCGGAGATCGACCACGCGCTCAAGTTCCCAGCGGTGCGAGCAGTCGTGCAGACTCGGCACCTCGCGTGCCGCAAGGGCTCGACTAGCATCGCGGGCGGCGCAGCGCAGCTGCGGACAGAGATCTCTTTCTGGCGGGCCCTCCGCAAGGTCGAGCAGTGGGAGCAGTCGGTGGCGAGGGGAGAGGTTGGCGACGAGGCCGAGGCCGAGGGGCGGCGCCGGGAGGCGATGGCAGCGGCGACCTTCTCCGAGTCGGCCGCGGAGGAGGAGAAGGCGGAGGAGGAGAAGGCGGAGGAGGAGGACGAGGACGAGGAGGAGGACGAGGACGAGGAGGAGCCCACAGTAATGGACGAGGCCCAGGCGGCGATTGTGCAGGCCGAAGCTGAGGCTGAGGCTGAGAAGGAGGCGCTGGCGGAGTCGAAGGCGGACGATGCGGAGGATCGGACTGGTGTGGGTCCGCCCACCGTCTCCTGCTTTGCCCGGGCGTCAGTCGCAGCGATCTGGCGTCAGTACGGGCTTCTTGCGGCCGACTACCAGCTGACGTTCGGACCGTACCAGCGCTGGAAGCTGCGGCACGTTGCGATGCGGAAGCTGCTGATGGACGGCCTGGTGCTGCGCTCTTTTCAGCTGCCTGTGCCCCATCTTTCTGGCTTTCAGTCCTCGTTCCGTGTCCGTAGGTGGCCGCAGCAGCCGTTCGCGGAATGGACTGTGCCTACCTCCTCCGCCTCGGGCTGCTCGCGTCCCAGCTGCGCTACAACACAAAGCTTGAGATCGCTGCGGGGCGCGTCATCGGCCGGCAGGGCATAATGTCTTGCTTCTGCTGGACGCGGACCCTCGCGCCACAGCGGCCGCTCACAGTCGTGCAGGCGAGCGAGGAGGCGACGCCAGCGGCGGCAGCCGAGTTCGTTGCGGCGCACGCGGCGGCGGCGGCGAGCGAGCGCGCGGCGGCCGAGGAGAAGGCGAAGGAGGAGGAGGCGCGGGCGCAGGTGGACGAGCTCATCACGCTCGATCCGGACCTGAGCAGCGTCAGGGAGCTGGCGCGGCAGCTGGCGGTGCAGCACGACAAGAAGTCGCTGTTCGTCGGCGTGCAAACGTGGAAGACCGGGCGCGCGGGCCTCGGGGATCCGGCCGTCAAGGCGGGCGGCGCGGCGGTGCTCGCGTACCTCAAGACGGTCGACTGGCCGGCGCTGCGCGAGGCCAAGCTGCAGCGCGACGCGGCGCTCGCGGCGGCGGAGGCGGCGGAGGCGGAGGCGGCGCCAGCGGCCGAGCGCGCGGCGGCCGAGGCGGCGGCGAAGGAGGAGGAGGCGCGGGCGCAGGTGGACGAGCTCATCACGCTCGATCCGGACCTGAGCAGCGTCGCCGAGCTGGCGCGGCAGCTGGCGGTGCAGCACGACAAGAAGTCGCTGTTCGTCAGCATCAGAACGTGGAAGACCGGGCGCGCGGGCCTCGGGGCGCCGGCCGTCAAGGCGGGCGGCGCGGCGGTGCTCGCGTACCTCAAGACGGTCGATTGGCCGGCGCTGCGCGAGGCCAAGCTGCAGCGCGACGCGGCGCTCGCGGCGGCGGAGGCGGCGGAGGCGGAGGCGGCGCCAGCGGCCGAGCGCGCGGCGGCCGAGGCGGCGGCGAAGGAGGAGGCGGCGCGGGCGCAGGTCGACGAGCTTCTCGTGCTTGCCCCTGCGCTGGGAGGCGTCGCCGAGCTGGCGCGGCAGCTGGCGGTGCAGCACGACAACCCGTCGCTGCTCAATGGCGTGCAGAAGTGGAAGTGCGGCGCGGACCTCGAGGCGCCGGCCGTCAAGGCGGGCGGCGCGGCGGTGCTCGCGTACCTCGAGACGGTCGAGTGGCCGGCGCTGCGCGAGGCCGCCGCGTCAGCCGAGCCCTCCTCCTTCCGCCTCTTCTTCGGTGGGGGTCTCAAGACTCCGACGCCGGAGGCTGGAGAGCTGCTCGCGGAGTACGTCATCACGGACTTCTACCTCAGCGACATCTCTCTGCGCACCAACGCCGACGGATCGCCCGCCATCTTCGACACGCAGATCGGCAAAGCGATGCTCTCCCTGGCCAAGGAGACGCGCGCGCTCGAGCACGAGCCTTACAGCCCGGAGAAGCCCATGACGGACCCACACAAGATCGCGGTCGTCATCGTGAGCGCGCTGCGCAAGGCGCTGTTCACAGAGGCGACCCTCTCCTCGGGGTGCGGCGGCTCGGCGGTCATCTTTGCGCAGCCTTTCGCGATCGTGGACAGCGAGGGCGACTTGCACGGCCGCCCGGACATGATCCTTTTCGCGCGCAAGGCATTCGCGCCACTGTCTCCGCCCCCCCGCTTCTTAGATTTTTGACCTCCTCCCTGCCCCTCCTCGCAGCACCCGAGGGTGATCCCCTACCTCCGCTCGACTGTGTGAGGCCGTACGCGACACTTGTCTGCCGAGACGCACTGGCATGCCGAGGCGGCCATGCCCACGCTGGACGGCGACGAGGCGGCTCAGCGGGAGGCGCATATACGCGCCACCGAGCGTGGTGTGGCCGGGGCCCCGCGCCGGTGAGGCGACGGCCGGAGTGAGGAGACTCAGTGTGTTCGGCACCAGGCTACATTACGTTCGACGCAATTCTCCAATGCCTTTGCTCGGCGCGCGCATTCTTTCGGGAGGAGGAGGGGACATGGACATGAGTTGCACGCTCGGCCATATTCTGGTCGCCGAGCGAAGACAGGAGAGCGTCGGGCAGCGCCTCACCGTGAGTCCGCAGGCGCTTTGCCGGAGGGCTTGGCATATATCTTGTCACAGCTTCGCGGCACACGAGAAGCTGTGTTTCAGACGCTGCATGAGAGAAATACGTCGCGCGCTAGGTCGCGCGCCAGCACTTGCAGGCAAACCGAGGGTAAATAAATATTTTTGCGCGGATGAACGCGAGCTCGTGGGGTCCACCAGTGCACCGCCTGCCTCAAGTGCTGGCCTCAGTTCAAGGCGCGAGATAAGGGGAGATATAAGGAGATGTGGGGAGATGTGAGAGCACCGCCGTGCCGGTGACGCTCGCGACCCCATGATGCCAAGACCTTGCGCAAAGACACTCTTCTCCGCCTCGCTCCTCTCCTCCCCCTTTTGGCCCCGCTGCGGCAGACTGCAAAAGTCCCAAAAGAGCCCCGTGTCGTTGGCCGCTCCACTTGGCCGGGAGGCTCGGATGCGGCGGCAGGCGGCGGCCTTCAATGCGACGATGGTCTCCGGCGCGGCGGTGCGGGTCGACGTCTCTCGCTCGCCCTTTACAGTCACGCTCGACGAGGCGGAGGCGCAAACCACGTCTCGCCGCGTGCTGCGCGTCTCGCCGGCGAGAGGAAGGGGAGCATCAGCTCCGATGGGCAGCCGCGGGGCGACGCCCGACGCGTCGCACGCCCACGGCAGCCCTCCCGGTGCGCACGCTGCGCTCAGCAGGGCGAGCTGCTCGTCGTGCGCCACGACGCACGCGCCTCCCTCGGGCGTGATGCGCAGCAGCGGCAGGGGCCTGCCGCAGAAGAGGTGCCGGAAGAGGGAGCGCAGGCCCAGAGCCAGCACCAGGTGCCGCTCCTCGTGCGAGCGAACAAAGATGGCGGCAACGTCCTTCCCGCTCAGCCCGACGGACACCTCGTTGTACAGCGAGGGCTCCGGCCGCTCGCCACCAGCGTGCTGCCACACGGCGTGCCTGCGGTCCGCCTCCTCGTTGGCGGCGCGGAGCCCTTCGAGGGAGGAGAGGCGTAGCCGGCATGGACCGCTCAGCGTGACGGTGCCGTCGGCGCCGACATGAAGGTGGTGCTCCGTCTTGGCGAAGACGCCCGACGGCCAGCAGAGGGCGTGCTGCAGGTCGACCGCACCTAATCAAGGCTCCGAGCAGGCTCCGGAACCAGGAGCGTTTCGACCCAGAGAAAGGGTCGTTCTCGCACCGCCGTCGAAGATCAAGCCGACGGCGCCCGGGCGGACGCGGCCATAGAGGTGCATGTGTCCTGATGGCGGCAGGAGGCTGGCCGAGGTTCGAAAGCGGCCACTGGCTTTCAGACGGCGGAGCAGCGACAGCCAGTCCGAGTTGCGGACGGTCTTGGCGAGCGCGCGATGCCTGTGAATCAGAGAGAGAGCGGCGGCGGCCGCCACCGCCTCGTCGCCGTCAGCTGCGCGCTTGTCGACGACAGTGCAAGGCGCCATGCAAATGAGCTGCCCGTCAACGACAGGTCGTGAAGGCTCTGCGACGCTGATCGCCAGCCATGCAATCAAGCGCGTTTTGTGCTCGTGTGAACAGAGTGAGAAGTGTGAAGGCAGGAGCCTTCGCCAGGTCGTGTGAAGAGCACTGATGCCGCAGTGAGTGAGTGTTCCCGGGCCCTGCGGGGAACTAAGTCGGCGCAAGTTAGTCTGTGAGCTGGACGAGGGCTAGTGGTGCGCCGTGGCGGATCAAGTGGTGAAGTGCTCCCGGGAGTCGTGCGGTCGGAGGCCGGGACCTAACTTAGTGTGCGGAAGTGAGTGCCTCCGGCCGGCCGCGAGGGGAGTGGTCCGGCGGGCCGCTCGCAGTGCCCTTCGCCGGCGGACGGAGAGGCGGGCTCGGCTACCACGCGCACTAAGTTAGTGCGCGTAGTGAGTGGGCCGCCGGCGAGCGGGCTAGTGGGTGAGTGCCTCCTGCCACCCCGCGCACTAAGATAGTGCGCGTAGTGGGTGGGCCGCCTTCTAGTGGTCGGCGAGGCCGTGGCCAGTGCCCCGGCCCTGCGGCGCCGCCTAGTGAGTGAGTGCTCGCCGACCCTCCCCACACTAAGTCGGCATCGGTGCTGTGTTTTTTAGTTGGCGAAGGCTCCTGGTGAAGGAGGTATTTTCTTCTCAATAACAAGGCTGTGAACAGAGTGAGAAGTGTGAAGGCCTTCTAAGCCCGCGGGTAGTCCCCCCCCATCCCCAGGGCCTCCAGGGCTCGCACCTCAACCTCTCACAGGCCAGCGCACAGCGCCATTAGGAGGTATTACCACCCAAGACAGCTTGGAGAGCTCCCGGTAACGCTACATTTCGTAACGATCGTCGCTATTGGCCATCTGCCTCCTGCAGCCTCTGTTGGGGCGGAATGCGCGGGGTTTTCGGCGCGATGCCTCCGGCTAGTACACGGTACTGCTCTGCCGCAAACTCTCCTGCGCTCGCGTGACGTGTGGGGCGCACGCACTGCGCTCGAAAGTCGCGATTTGGCAATAGGCGCTCGAGCCGGCGCGCAGTGGAGGGGGCGCCGCGCAGGGGGATCGGGGGGGTGCGAGAGGGGGCGTGGGTCGGGCGCGCACCGGCCGGCTCCGGGAGCGGCCGTCACGTCGAAGAGGGGACCTGGTGCTGCTCGAATGATGACGCATGCCGCTCTGCTGCGCCGCCGATAGCCCCTCTTCCGAGCCGGCGCGTGGCGGCGAGCCGCGGCCAGTATCGCTGGTGCGGTGGAGGCGGCAGCTTGCATCGGCCGGCAGCGGGTGCGGCCATCACGTCGATGAGGGGGGGTTGTCGGCGACTCGTGTGGCTCGAGGCCTACGCTGCGCCGCCCAAGCCCTACTGCCGATCCAGCGCCTGGCGTTTGGGGCGAGCCGCGGTCGTCGTCGCTGATGGTATATGGCGGCGGCGGCGGCGGCTCGCCCTTCCCTCCGGCCGCAATTCCGATCCCGCCGCGCTCGCGGGAGGTGGCGCGCCCACCGCGGCACGGCCGTGGCTGCGCATACACCTTACGCCCTTTCTCCTCAACGGCTATCCGTGCTTGCTGTGCCCCTGCGTGGTGTGTTTCAAGTTCTTACAACCCAAGGTGATAGAGGGCAAAAAGATCGATTGCGCTCTTGCCGATCCGCACCTACCTAGGCTCTTGGGTGGCGCGCCCCAGCTCTTCACAACGAACCTGGTTCTTCCTCGTAGGAGGTACCGCCAGCGCGTTCTCGCGGCAGCGTCTCTCCGCGTGGGCACGAGCCTCGACGACCGCGCGCCGGGACAGGACGGCGCGGTACCAAGGAGGGACTGGCAGATCGGCCTGGCAGACCTCCTTGGCTCGGCAGAATGGGCATCGCATCGCGCGCGACGGCTCGGATGATTCGCAGGCCGCAATCAGCATCCTCTCGATGCAATCGCGGCAAATCGCGTGCGCGCAGGCATACGCGCCCTGCGGCAGCGCTGGGAGTGGATACGCCTGCTCGCACGCCGGCACGCAGCAGATCGGGCATTCTTCGGCGCGGCGCTGGCTGACCAGCGAGAGCTGCCCAAGTGATGTCAACTCGCCAGCGCGCTCTCGCAGCAGCCGCTCAGACACCGCAGCCTCCAGAGGCGATAAGACACCGGCCATGACGGAGCTCGGGCTGCTCGCAAGCTCGCTCTTCTCGGCGAGAGCCATCGTCGGGTGTGGCCATCGTCGGCGGGTGTGTGGACTGGCTGGTTAGCCCAGCCGACTCCGCGGGGGGGTGGGGGGGTGACTCTCGAGGGGTGGGATCCCTGCGATGTTAGAGGTGGGGATCCCTACCTCGGGGTTAAAAAGGAAGTGGCGTGGGTGGCGCGATCCAAGAAGATGAACACAGCAAGTGATCAAGAAGATGAACACACGCGAATCATACAAGTACGCTTCACGCAGGTCGCTGCGAGAATTGGCGAGAAACTGCGAAGAGAGATAGGTAGGAAGAGGTAGACGCCCCGAGGGTGGGGGCTAGCACCACACTCCTATTGAGCACTTTGAGCACTGGATAGGGTCGATTCCGCGTGGTACGGGGCCTTAAAATCCCTGTGTGGTGGCGGCATGCCGTCCTCCATCCCTCCCTTGGGTTGGCTGTTTTCTTTCTTTTTCGTACGCTTTACGCTTCACGCAAGGGCACTTGAGCACTTGAGCACTGGATAGGGTCGATTCCGCATGGTACGGGACCCCTCGATCGTCTCGCCCTCCCTCACTGGTGTGTTCATTGCACATTGGGGGGGGGGGGGGGGTCATAACAAACAGGATCGACGTGTCGATCGAGCCCGGCCCGCCCGGCTTCGAGCTCCTCTCGTCGTCCGTCGCCGTCTGCCCGCGCTTCGTGGTGATCAATCGGCTGCCAGAGTCGCTGCAGCTGCGGGCCGAGGTGCTCCCCGCGCGGGGGGACGTCGAGCTGCCTGCCGCCGCGCCGCCGCACGTGGAGCTGGCGGCAGGCTCGCGCACCGACGTGTACTGCTTCGAGGTCCTCGAGCCGAAGGCAGTGCTGAAGCAGTGTCACAGCCCCGGCCGGGCCAAGACGCACAAGCACAATCTCTCATAAAGGGAGAGACAGCAACGACAGCCAGAAGTCAGCACTGGATCCCACAAAAGCACAAAAATCTCTCTAAAGCACAGACCCGGGCCCGAAATCGCACGACAGCACCCCATCCCTTCCGGATGAAATCATCTTGCTTGCAAAATCATCTTTTCTTCTTTCTGGACTTCTTTCTCGTCACGGACAAACAAACAACGACAAGCAGTGATGCCTTGCACACCACCCAACCCTACCACCCCAGCACCAACCCTGCCACCCAACCATCAATGGCGGCGTCCCGGAAAAAAGAATAGAGGCTCGCGCAAACGATTGATTAATTCCTCCATTACGGAATTTTGCGGACGACCGATCGCCCTTTTGCGGGTGCCCGTCTACATCCAGGAAGTCTTGCGCCTCCACGCGCTAGACATGGTGCGCCGGCCACTGGCGTTGTTGGCGCTCGCACATCTGAGCTGCGCGCTCGAGCGATCGCCTTGCCCTGCGCTTTGCCTCTTTTCGCGGGAAGATTGGTCGCAAAAGTGTTCGTGGAGAGAGTGGCAGTGCTCGGACTCTTGCTTCGAGTGCCAGCGTCAGCTCTTCTGCCAGCGGAGCACCCACTCGTGGGAGAAAAAGTGTGGCTGGAAGTCCTGCGAATCGGAGGTCGCATGCCGCGACGGCATCTTACCACGGCCGCCGCCACCGCAGCCGCCGCCGCCGCCACCGCAGCCGCCGCCCCCGCCACCGCCACCACCACCGCCGGATCCGCCCCTGATCTTCGTCCCTCCCCCCTCGCCCGCTGGGAGGCCACAGACGTTGCCGGAACTGCAAGCACCGCCGGCGCCGGTGCCGCGGCCACTGCCGCCACCGCCCAATCTGCCAAAAAAGCCACCAAACGTGATATTTATGATCTCGGACGACCTCACCCTCAACACACCCGTGCCGGCCCGCACTCCCAACCTCGACTTGCTGCGAGCGAGCGGCGTCTCCTTCCCGCACACGTACGCCCAGCTGTGCTCCTGCGCGCCGTCCCGCGTCGCTATATTCACCAGCCTGCGCCCAGACCAGACGGGCGGGTGGACCAATGCCAGAGAGGACAAGGTGCGCTTCTTGGAGCCACCGGCGAGTCCTTACACGCTGCTCCCGCAAGCCTTCCGCGACAACGGGTACTATGTGCGTGCCTACGGTAAGCTGCTTCACCGGGGAAGGCGGGCAGCCGGCGCCTCTATCGAGATCCTTCGAAGCGTCGACGCCTACCTCCGGTCGCCAGAGCCCTTTCGATTCTACCACGACAACCGGACCGTGCGCGGCGGTGTCACCAAGGCCGAACTCGAGCGCACCACCGGTGATGTCGATCTTGCTCCATTCGACGCGGGACAGACCGCTGAGGGCATCAGCGTGCCTGACGATGCGTACGAGGATGGGTGGTACGGCGACAATGCCGCGGCGTGGGTGCGTGACTGGCCGGCCAATGCCGCGCCCTTCTTCCTCTGCATCGGCTTCTGGCGGCCGCACATCCCCTTCAACGCTCCAAAGATGTACTGGGACTACTACGGCGCGGCCGAGGTAGCGGCCGCCATCCCAGACAGGTACGACGGCATGCGCCAGATGCCGAGGGGCACGCTCTCCTTCACCGCTCCGGCCGCGGCAGAGCTGCTCTTGCATGGCCAGGACTTCTCAAGCACCGAACAGGAATTCATCCCGCGCACCCCGTTTGGGCTCGGAAACGGAGTGCCCAACTCGACGATGTGTGGCGACCCGCCGATGACGTGCTGGATGCGGCCGACGCCCCTGCTGGCGGACGCGCGCAACTTGCTGCACGGCTACCTCGCGAGCGTCTCGTTTATCGACGCGCAGGCGTTGGCGAGGCAACATCGCTGCCCACGCGGTGGCGCCTTCCCACGCAATGGCCTCTCTGGCTGTAGGTGGGCAAGCTGTTCCACGCGCTCGAGGGGAGCGCGCACGGCGCAAACACCGTCACCGTCTTCACGAGCGACCACGGATATCACCTCGGTGACCGCGGCGGCTTCTGGACCAAGCACACCAACTTCGAAGCGGCGGCGCGAGTGCCGCTCTTCATTGCGGCGCCGTGGCTGCCCGAGCCCGGGACGGAGGCGGCGGGCGTCGCCGAGCTGATTGACATCTACCCGACCTTGGTCGCGATGGTGGAGCGCAAGGCGCCGGGCACGATTTCGGTGCTGCCGAGCCAACGACTGGCGGGGACGTCGTTGCTGCCGACGCTCCTCGACCCGAGGGTCCCATCGAAGGGCGTCGCCTACACTCAGTTCCAGAAAAGGGTGCGCACGCTCGGGCCGGAGCGCGGCGAGCCCGCGAAGCTGCCCAACATGGGCGGCGCGAACTCGAAGCGGGGCGCCAACGGGATGGGCTACTCCGTCCGCGTGCGCGACGCGGGAAGGGACTACCGCTACACCGAATGGTGGAGGACAGCCGACCTAGACGCAATAGTCGCGCCGACGATTGCGGAGGACAACAAGACGAACGTCAACATGGCCTGGTGCGCAAACCCCGCCAACGCGTCTACCTGCGTCGCCGGGCCTGCGGTGCGCGAGCTCTACTACTACGAGGGCGCCTCGCTGATTGAGACGGTGAACGCCATCGGCACCGTGACGGCTGAGATGGCCGCGCCGCTTTCAGATGGGGCGAATCACAACGGGCTCGGGGACGGCTGGAGGCGGTGCTTTGGTCAAGCCACCCCGCTCTCGACGCCGGGTCTCGCCGCCGATCTCACCTGCCTCGTGAGTGGGCTCCCTTCCAAACTGCTCCGGTTTGTCGGCGACTCAAGCAGCCCGTCAGTCCCGCCCTCAAGCAGCCCCACCGCGCCGCCATCACGTCCGCCGCGGGCCGCGCCTCTGCCACAGCCGCTGTCGCCCACGCCGCCACCATCAGTGCCACCGCCGCCCTTCGTAGCACCACCCCTGTTGCCGCCCACGCCGCCGCCCTCCACCTCGCCCTCGCCGCCGCCACCAGCCCCGCCGCCACCCGCCCCTCCGCCGCCCTCGCCGCCGCCGCCCTCCGCCTCGCCCTCGCCGCCGCCACCAGCCCCGCCGCCACCCGCCCCTCCGCCGCCCACGCCGCCGCCGCCCTCCGCCTCGTCCTCGCCGCCGCCACCAGCCCTGCCGCCACCTGCCCCTCCGCCGCCCTCGCCGCCGCCGCCCTCCA